CTTATTTCTCCTGCTTTCTCAATCCAAAGGTGGTATACTACATACACTCTTTTGCATCGTGCTTTTTTCATTTAATAACATATCCTAGAGGGCCGGCTGAGTGACACGTTGGTTAAGAGTTGGCTTGGGATGCCAGCTCTGAGCAGCAGGGCCCCGGTTTGGATCCCACATGCGGGCCAGTGACGCTGCGCCCTCTACAGCCAAGATGGTGAACAACAGCTCGACCTGGAGCTGGGCTGCCATGAGTCGCCGGCGACAGCGTAGGCTGCAGTGGGGCTGCCCTGAGCTGCTGTAAGCTACCGTGAGTGGCTGGCAGCCAGCATGAGCAGCCGGCAGCCAGTGTGAGCAGCCAAGAGCCACCGTGAGCGGCCGTCCAGTGGCCGGTGACCAATCTGCCTCACCTGGGAAGAGCGCAATGATAGTACCAACATGGGCCAGTGAAGCGACGTCTTCCTCAACTAGACTGAAGAACAAAAGGATAGCAACTTGTCTGTTCCCCTTCCCTGATTCCCCAAGCTGTTCCCCTTCCCTAATTCCCCAATAAAATCTTTAAAAAAACAACAACAACATATGCTAGAAATGACATCATATAGGTTCACAGGTCTCCCACTCATTGTTTTTGGCTACATAGTACTCCATTATGTGGATGTACTGTTGTTCATTCAACCAGTCTATTAAGGATAGGCATTCAGTAGTTGCCAATTATTTCCTTTCCTGTTACAAATATGCCTCAGTGAACCACCTTGTGTGTATGTCTTTTTGTATTTGTGAATGTGCATTTTCTGGATAAATTCCTAGAAGTAGGACTGCTGGGTAAATACACATTTTGTTGGTGTTTTTTTAGATATTGCTAACCTCCCCTCCATAGGGGTTCTGCTGGTTTGCCCTCCTGGCATTGATTTTACAATCTAAGCGGATCTTGCTATGAGGTGTTCTGAGCTGAGTTTTCCCAGCCTACCTGCGAGTTCTTAACCTCCCACCAATAACACTACCCCAAGCTCCCTCTGCCCTAGTGATCTGGCAGGAAGGCAAGAGCAAAGGGGTCTCGCTGATTCCATTCCAGTTCATCTTCCTGAATTGTCCTGGAGATGTCTGTACTCCACTTGGGAAACCAGAGCAGAGGGAAGTGATGAGGCTGAACACGTCAACCAGAGAGGAACTGGTGAGGCAAAAGAGATTAGGACACCTACGTTCTCACCTCCCTTTTCTCTCCTTTGGCCTCTCCACTATCCCTCCCAACACAAATTGCCTCCAACAGCAACTCCCTGGACGGGGAGCCCTTGGTTCTGGTCCTAACTAGATTTTTCCTCCTCAACCCACACCCACGTGGGCTAAACACGGAAGACTGGCATAGGGTGGAGGCAGAAGTCGAAACTCCCTGTCATTTCTGTTTTAACATGTGCAGAGGAAATAAGTCAGTGGAACACGGATGGCTCATATAAGGGAACAGAGGAAAGAGAAGACAAAGAGAAATGCTGGGAAAGGAAGCCGAGTACAAAACATTCCACACAAGCCTCTTGGACTCCAGCCCCAGAGCCCACTTTATTGCTATGACCCGTTCTACAGAAAGGGGAAAAAAATGAGTGGAAAAAGGAGGTCTTTCCAGTTTGACGGCGGGGCCCAGGGGTTCTGCTTGTGGCCCAGAGGTCCTTCTTGTCTTTCTCATCCCTCCTTCCTGCTCACACCTACCCACCAAATATCAATTGGGGATGACAGGAATCAATGCATGTCTGAAGAGCAGGGAACTGAGCTGGGAAGGGAGGCTGTCTAAGAGCTAGGCTTGGGAGAAGAGGTCAGAGGGCAGGAAGAATTCCCCCCAGGAAAGGCAGTGAGGCCCAGGGGAGGGCACTCCTCCTCAAGGTCAAATCAAACACCTGGGTCAATCTAAGCTAAACATGTTTCTTAAGGTCCGGAGGACCAAGAACGAACACCTTCCTTTCCTCCCTCCAAAGCTAGGTGGATATGGAAAGCCCTAGACAGGCAGAGCTTATCCATGTCTTTGGGTGCTGGATCCAAGGCCAGGAGCATAGAAAAAGAGAGAAAAGGCCGGGGGTGGGGGGGGGGGGCAGGGGACTGAGATTTTTCTAAATTCTTGAATAAGAGGCAGTTTCCTGTGGAATGTATGAATTGCTGCAGGTGGCAGCTGGGTTAGTGCTGGGCTACCATCCAGTCTGTGAGAGTGGGGGGCGCAGGGGGAGGTAAAGCGCCCCAATACCCTTGCCCAGGGACTTCACCCCCTCCCCACACCACCTTGCTTCTTCCAGCACTTGGGCAAACTCTTAACTGCTCCACTTTTGCCCCTCACTGTGCCCTCCCGTTCGAATGTCAGGCTTTCTTCTGACATCCAAAGACCACAGAAATCTGACAAATCTGACTCAGCCGCTCCCTTCCACTATTATTGTGGCAGCATCAGCCCAAATGAGGTTGATTCCCAGGTTCCCCCCCAAAATGCCACTTCCGTCTCAACAAACATCGTCCAAGCACCTTTTAATGTCTCAGGGACTGTGTTACGTGCGGGAGCCGCCGGGGCTAAGAAAGCTGTGATCTTTCGACTTGACCTTGAATTCAGCCCAGGCCGCGGAGGTGGACAATGGAAGGGGAAAGGACCGTGGCCCCCCTCCTCGGTTCAGAGCATCTTCTGCTCAGAGCCCTCCGACCAGGGCAGAGCCAGGCGTGGAGATGAGGCGCTAGGGGAGGGGCGGCGGCGCGCGCCCGCGCAGAGCCGCGGGGAGAGGAGCCGCGGATTCGCTGCGGTCCGGATCCAGCCCCGCAGCCACCGACCCCGCAGCTCCAGACCAACGGAGCAGGCGTGTGGGTGCGCGCTAAATAGGGAACCCTCCTCGAACCTACGAGAATCTATCCCTAGTCAGAGCCCTGAAAATTGGAAGGTGGACTGCAGGAATGATGCACCCCCAAGTGGGAAGTGGGAAGCGGGGAGCGGCGAGATTTAGAGGATGTACCTCCGCAAGATGGTGGCAGGGAGGATGGGGCTCCCGCGCAAGTGCCAAGAAACGGATCCTCCCCCTCCCCTTCCTACAGAACAAGGGCAGGATCCTGTCTTGGGTCCCTTAGCCCACTGCGAAAGGTCTCATTTCCCTCCTAGATCAGAATACCGGCAGGGAGGGAAAACGTGTCTAGCCTTAGAGTGCAGTCAGGTCAACCATCCAACACCTCAAAATGAAAACAGGTTACTTTTGCTTCCCCAGCCCCATTGAAGCTCTCCTCCAAGTCATTTACTTCCTTTTTTCCAGTTTCTAAGCTCTCTCTTTTACCATCCGTCCAACCAAACTAGCTGGGGCAAAGGGCAGGTGCTTCCTCTCCCCCTGGACTGACCCCTACAGATGTGTCAGCCTCAGGTCCAGGACAACCTCCCAGAGCCAGCTCCCCATGCCACCACCACCGAGCCTCTAGCCGCTCGCTGTCTGAGCCATCACCTCTTCCTGCCTTCCCCCTCTTAAACCTTCCTCCAGCCCGTCCCTCCTGACGCCTAGGTCCCTCTCCATGGCCTGCCCCAGCCTAGGAGAACCCTGGTCTCTTTCCTTCTTCCTTGTAAAGAGGGCCCCAGCTGAGGGGGCTGGAGGGAGACCTCCACAGAGGAAGGTCGGAAGGAGCAGCTCTGGGGAGGGGCTCAACGAGCGAGGGGAGGATCTTAACAGAGGAGGATCTCCACCCAGAGGAGGAGGTGGCGCTGTAGAATAGGATTATACTTCCCCTCCCCCCAGCGGTCAGTTGAGGGCCCGCCTATTTCTTCATCTGACATTCCCCTTACCAGGCCAGCCCGCGCAGACTTCGCCAATGCAAGTTATTGTAAGTCCATCAGGAATGCCCAGGAGAAAGGTGCCTCTGGCCAGCAGAGTGCCCACTCCCTTCCAGGATGTGGCGGGCCCCGCCCGCATCCTCCATACCCAGCAAGAGAGAGCTCTGGTCCTTTAGTGTGATGGAGGAGTGTGTGAGGCTGGACTCGTCCCGGAGAGGATGCCAGCCAGCTTCCTCCACCCCAAGAGCGAGCCAAATATGTGAGTGAGCATAAGTGTGAAGGGAGGGCAGGAGAAACAATACAGCCTTAACTTCTACCTGTTCAGCCCCAAGACTTCAGGGACACTCCCAAAGATGCCTGCAGCCAACCCCAACAGCCAAACATTCACCAGCCCTGCAGTCAACAGCCTTGAAATTGCAAACTTTCCAACTTAACCCCTTCTTTCTTCAATTTGGGACCAGAGATACATGGGGCGGTGCCCTCAGAGGCACTCATACAGTTGGTTCTTGACGCTCTGCTCACACTCAAACAACAGCAGTACAGGGAACTCCCAGCTTTTTCCACTGCTAATTATAGACGTGAATGTCTGAGGATGTTTTGCAAGTGGCAGAGAGAAACTGCTGAGGTTTCTTTATAAAGCCAAAGAAATAAATTTGTGTATTCCCCTTCCTCACCTCCCAACTTCTAGCTCCACCCAACTCCCAGTAAGCCCCTCTCCTAGCCTTCACTGCAGCCCCTCCTTCTTGTTGAAGATTTCTTACTTGGTTCTTTTTTTTTTTTCCATCTCTCTTTGGGGCTTTCGAGAAAGGGAACAGACGCGGAAAATATTTTTGCAACAGTTTTCCATTAGGCATCTCATTCCCAAGCCAAGGGGGAGGGGGAAGGCAGAAACGGATGGTGGTGGTGGGGGGTGCATTTTCCAAAAGCTCAATTTGGGTGTGAAAAAGACAGTCACTCCATTCTCCTACCCCCACGGTCCAGGAAAAACAAAAACTAGGAAAAGGAAAAGCAGTCACTTGTTTGATTATACGGTTTCTCAGAACTGAGTCTAGGAAAGGAATACAGTATTTGACAAATCTGTGTGTGTGCGCGCGCCCGCGCGCGCACACACACACACACACACCAAACCCAGTCACAAGAAATATGCCAGGAAGAGTAAATTCGGGAGTTTTAGACTCCATTGAGAGGAAAGAAATAAACAAAGTTTGCAAGTCGCGAGTCAATTCATTCTCTGCAAGCTTACCTCTTTTTCTAGCAAAGATCCAGGCTTCTCCAAGCAGGACGCTCCCTCCGGGTTTCCATGGACAGGGTGGGGCGGGGGTGACCACCACTGGTCTCCCCAGTGTGGCAGTCACGCTAAAGAATCTGGCTTTAATCTCCTGCCTTTTCTGCCACCGCCAGGGAGTGGGTAGGGTCTCCTCCCCCTGGCCCTCCCAGTTGGAAGGACCTCTCAGGTTCCTGGAAGATAATAATGCAAAGGAGCTGGGCGGGTGTCTGTGGTCTTGCTTTCTTCAGAAGGATGGTAACCCCAGGAAGTTCGTGCCTTCTCCAACCCCCAGCTTTGGATGGTCTCAACAGCAGAGCTTTCTTAAGAAAATGCTTGTCATGGCAACAGCTCGAGCCAACTAGACCAGACTCCAGCTCACCAGCTCTCCCCAGCAGTGCGGGAGGAGAAAGGGGAGGAGCGAGAGGTGGAAGGGAGGTGGGACTTGGCGAGAAGCCAGACTAGCACTCCACTGTTAAGGTGGCCCGATGGCAATCTGTGGCTTCTTCCTGGTTCGTCTTAAGGGGGAATGGAGAAAGGAAGGGGAGGAATCCTTTCTTCTCTCAGAGTTTCCTCCCCGCCCAGGCTCTCACTTGTTGAAAGTAGGGTTGGGGGTGGAGGTGGGGAGTGGATGTGGGTGGCAGTATTCAACCGTTGCTGGGTGGAGGGAAAAAAGGAAGCTTCTGGAGGCGGTTAGCTTCCTGCAGCTCTTTTTTGGCCTCTCAACCTGTTACTCACTTAGACCCAGGACCCAGAAACCCAAAAACCCAAGGTCTCTTCGGTAACTTGTACCATCCACTTTCATCTCTGGCCCCTCTGAATAGGGAGCTCGCTGGAGAAGCAGAAGGAATTGCTTGGGTTGCACACACACCTACACAGCTTTGCTTATACACACACCTTAGTGCACAGCCTTCACCCAGATTTCACACACACCATCCTGGGTCACATTTTGCTCCCTCTTGCCTCTGTATCCCGCAGAGGCACATCCACAGCACATGATAACTGCTGCCAACTTGTGAATCCTACTATGCATGGGCTATGGCACCAAAAGCTTTGTACATATGGTTTCCTTTCTAATGCTCATGGCAATCTTGAAAGGTACTTATTATTATCCTCATTTCAGAGTTGAGGAAATTGAGGATCAGTGACTCGCCCAAGGTTACACATCTGGTTAATAACAGAGCCAGAATACAAGGCCAAGTCAGAAGCTCCTGTACTTTCCTGTGCTTGTGTCATACTCTGGCATGCATTTCCATTTTAATTTGCACACACTCAGACACCATGCACATTTATACACAGCCTATAAACTGTTAATCATAGCCCTGCAGCCACACACCCACCAGTGTTGTGCAACAGTGCCACCCATAGATTTTGCCTAGAACTTTGTGGCTTTCAAGTACAAACATGTACCATAATTGGTTCACACACCGTGTCTTCATTGACTGAGCTATTCCCACACCTACCTCAGCACACACACTCAGTCATATACATATGCTTATGGAAGACAGGTTAAAGTTGTAAACTATGCTGTGAAGAAGGTGACCCACCATAACTTCAGGGGTTTGGAAAGAGGCCGCTTTGATTCCCACCTTCTAACCAGGCATCTCACACCATAAGGGCCCTCCTTTGCCCCAGGACAAAGAACTGCATGTACACTGAGGAACAGAATTGTGAATTCGACCCTGGGCTCTGGTTTCCCTCTGCCCATTAACATCCTTCCCGATTTCCTAACATCTGGGTCCTTTCTTTCCTCTCTTTAGTACTATCCTACTATTTCTCAACAACTCATCCACATCCGATTTCTGAGCTAGGGAAAGTTAAACAGACAAAAGTGAAGAAACTTTTGCAGAGTGGTTGGGCTTGGCTCAGAGCTCAGAGTTCCCCAATGCGGTACTAGAGATTGCCTGCTGCCATCTATCTTGGGAGCCAAATCCAAGATAAGCCCCTGCCTGTCCTTGTGCCCCTCCTCCCCAGCCTAGCCCAGCGGATGGAAGGTTGCAGGGGTGGGAAGGGGAGTTTAGGGCTACCTTCTGTGGAAGCCATCCATGGATTGTTCTCCAGCAGTCTCTTCTTCCTTGGGATTGAGGGTCTCGCATTAGGAGGACACCAAAGGTGAGATTCTTTTTCTTATTCACTCCCTGTCCCTCTCCAAACTTCTCTGGTCCTTCCCACCCCACTCCCCAGAGCATTTTAGTGGAAGAGCTAATGGCAGGGATAGAGATGGCACCTTGTCAGAGTTTGGAAAGTCCTACCAGAATGTCAGTTTCAGGAGCCCAGATCAATTGTCGGGGAAGACAGAGAATGAATGGAAAGAAATCAACTGGACAGGGCTTCAGATTCAATGGCTTGTTAAACTTGTGCTAGATTGCAACAATTTGACATTTTAGCTCCTAATGAGTGTCAGTTGCGTCTTTATCATGAGAAAGCCAGTCCCTGACATGGTGCTTTAAATGTATTAAAGTATATTTTAAGCTTGTCTTCAGTGACTATGTGGGGAGGCATTGCCTAACTGTTCAGTAAACTTCTCTTAGGGGAGTAACAATTTAGGCCATATGTGTGGTCCCATTAAAGGAGAAGTCTGCTTTGGCTGCTGGCATGTGGAGCTGAAAATGATGCCTGGTTAGCATTGGGAAGGCAAGATCCTCTGATCAAACTCCTTGGGTTTCAGGGAGGCAGGCTCTGCAGGGGAGGTGCTGCCAAAGAGGCTTTGATGTCTGCCCCACCTCTGCCTGGCTGGGATTCCAGGCAGGCGAGGAGTTTGACTTCTGTGGTAACCTATAGGTAGATCCTCCCTTCTCTCAGAACCCAGTGCTCCAGCATGCCCAGTGAGGGGCTGTGGGATGAGAGAAGAGGCACCCCCACCTCATTCCAACCCCTAGTTTCCATGTAGACAGGAGAGAAGGATGTGAGAGGTGGGTCAAGGTGGTGACTTCAGGGATGGCTGCAGCCTGATGGCTATCGCTGAGCCCACCACCAAAGCTTGTGTTTCCTGGAAACTCAGAAACCTCAGTACCTTGTTTTTTTTAAGATTTTATTGGGTAATTGGGGGAGGGGAACAGCATTGGGGAATCAGGGAAGGGGAACAGACAAGTTGCTGTCCTTTTGTTCTTCAGTCTAGTTGTGGAGGACGT